CCATACATAGAAGAAGAAGGCATGTCGAATAAGAGATAAAGTGTAATAATACGAGGTTGCACGGGGAAACGTATAATAATCGTTAATAGTACAGGTAGGACGGTTACATCTGTAGAATGACCTGTCTGGGTGGAGAGACGATGCCAACATGCCAGCTAGTAAACCGGTGGGGAGCGCAGCGCTGGGGGCAACTGCCGGGAAGGGCCGAGGGAGTGCCGATGTAGCGAGGAGGCGAGCAGTTCGGACGATACGTTGCGTTACGACGAGGGGGAAAGGGATCGGCAGAAGAGAGTGGAAGGGACACCGGCCATCTTCACCAACATGCGGCTACGCCATCTCCATCCTAGGTCCTCGCGCGGAAAAGTGTCACCTCATTCAAACAAGTCTGTCCAAGTCCAGGGGCGTTACATAGCCTCCTCCTGAGATGCAGCACTGTCCTCAGTGCTGCTGGAGTTGGTGCTCGGGAGTGGGGGGAGGTGTGTGCTTCTCTCTATCCCACCGCTGCCACCACTGTAGTAGGCGGACCGCACTGGGGTTTCAGTTGGGGGTCTGGTTTCGGACTTACGTCGACTGACTCGGTAGAAGGAGACGGGGACGGGGCCGTTTTCCTCTTTCCTGAACGGTTGGGCTTAGATCTTGCCATCAGACGACCAGACGACGGCACAACGTACAGAAGTGGTTCGAACAGTCAAAGAGAATGTAACAGGAACGATATATTGGAAAAGGGAGAGATACGAAAACGAGAGGACAAGGGGGGGGGGGATCAAGAACGTGGAAAGTCTCAGGGGGTAGAGGAGGGAAGAGGAAACACTTGCTGGTCAGGTGGGTGGCCTCGGAGGTACGACATCCACGGGGTTTTGGGTGTTTCCTTGTTCACGTTCGCCGTCCTCACCTGAAACACCAGAGAGAAGGCGCACTCAAACCACGGCACGAAACCTCCCGCCTCCTTTTCTTTTCCCGCTCGCCCGTTCTTCCTCTCTTTTAAACAAACTTGCCTTTTCGGTTCTTACAGACTTTCGTAGCCTGTTTGCGTCCGCTTCCGTTCTTGCTAACCGACGCTGGCCCAGTAGCCTAGGGTAGTTCGACAGGGTCCTATATATATTGAAGTCACCGCTGCCGGACCGATCTCGTGTTGCAACGATGGGCGTCGTCGCGCGCGCCAATCAAACTGTCCTGTGTGCGCTCACGGATCTATCATCACTGTGAGATGGATACGGATCTTTCCTTTTTACACTCCTGAGCTGGAGTAAGATTCTCTAATGACTGAATGTATTTGAGAAATGATCACTCAAGCTTCTCCTCTATTATTGTGTGATTCCTCTTCGTTTTTTTTATTGTTAACTGTCATGTGGACGATTGCCTAGGTCGCGAACCTCCCCCTCAGCTCAATAGGGGAACGGCAACCACCGTTTCGTTCCCGCAATCGGGATAGGTCAGTTCCTGCCACCCCGTGTGGCTGAATATTCCCTAATGTTAGTTCACACAAATGGGACCGGTAGCTCGACAGTGAGAGCGTTACTCAGTGATTGGCCTACTGAAGTTAAAACCTTAAACTTGCGGTCCGAGTTTGTCGTGTAGATGACTGATGGCAAATGAGCATGATTTTCCTAGTACTCCATTCATTTGACGGGGGTCGCTCCTTAAGAGTTTAATTTTATCAATCTAAGACTGGTTTGGGATCGTGACGTCTCCTAGAGGTAGAATTAATGCATCCGGTAGATCGTTACTTACTACTGGGTTCCTGTCGTTCTGCCTTAGCTTTATCAATTCCCATTCTAACTTCCTCTGTTTATGTACCACCGTGCTCTGATGTTCCGTTCTCTTGACCTAGTTATCCGTCGGATGTTAAGCGCCTCTTCCACGCACGATGCCGACTACTTCTCACCGGTTTCCAACATGTTAATCCCCTCGCGCCCTTCGTACCCTGCTTTTCGCTATCTTCTCTGCTGTCTTTGTGTGTTATGTTATTTACTTACTCTTCCTTTTGTTGATTAGAGAAAACTGACTTCCTCTTATCTCTATTGCCTGCCACCTTCGCGGTCAAAGCCCCAGTTTCTCGAGACCACAAATGCAAAAAACTGTTTACTCCAGCGGCTGTTTGCGTTTGCGTGCGAAACCTTCTGTAGTTCCTACGACTACGGTTAAAGCCTACTGCCAGACCCCTTGCTTGGGCCAATAGCAGATCAACACGTGTTGCCGAAACCGGCAGCACCCTTAAGTTCCACCCCTCGTTGCAGCACAAACACTTTCGGACCACCAAGTTAGGATGCCTACACGCCAACCGGTTGTTAGACTTCGTGCACTGGGTGACTGTTTGCAGAATCAATGACGCTCCTGTTGTTATCAACTAGGCCAAAGTTAAGCGCTTTCGGAGGAAATTCATGATGGGCTACCAGTTCTCGGATCTTTTTGGACGTGGATTTTTGCCTAATTTTCGAAAGGTGTCTCGTTGCCCCTCCTCTGATTTGCAAAACTGCATCTGTCTAGCAAGCTGTACTCCTTTTTTGGGGATGTTAACATCTGAAAATCGCAGACGAAGTATGCCTAGCTGAGGGAGCCGTCGGAGCATTCTCTTCCCAAGCCTTCATGGTACAAGAGTAATTTGAATGACGATACCATGTCACGAGGAAGGAGATACGGTCGCTAGAACAAGATTTTTAAAAGCCTTTAGACCGGGCAATCCACCATCCTTATCTGTCTTCGTCTCTGATGAGATATTCGAGTAAAAATTCGAAACGTTGGACTAGTGAAGCTCTTGTTCCAGCGATCTTGTCTCCCTCTCTATGACTACTTCCTAGAACTCGCCTTTCTGCTTTTATTAATCACTAAGTCTCTTTACCACCGGCCTGCATACGTTTGCGTCGTGGGATGGAAAGACTGAGGACTGAAGCAGCTTAGCATGTTAGTCAGAAACGTAGGTAGGCAACAAAAGCAAATTCAGTAGGAGAGAGACAGACTAAAACAAGTAAAGCAGGTTGGATATTACTAGCACGGCATGCGTCTCAGTCGCCGGGGGCAACTGAAAAAGGATTCGACTCCGCTGGGACAGCCCGAGGCACGTCACCTGATCTGCGAGCGACGGACATGGTGACATCGTCCTATCATTGTCATCAGTCCTGATGTTGGCGTCCTGGGTGACCGAGGAGAGCCAGGGCCGTCGACTGTGCCGTGTTCTGGAGTTGTCACTATCGGTTCTCCACGGAGGCTTTTTCGTCAGTGATGGCGGCGGCGACTGGAGAGCTGGCTAGCCGTTGAGCTAGTTCATTGCTGAAGTGGAGATGGTGAGAAGGCAAGGACAACAAAGCAATATTCAGCTTACCTAGGGGTCGTCTGCCTTGATGCCTTCTGCGAAACTGTAGGCGAATCCGCAAAATCGAGATGACGAGACGATGATCGGTCTACCCGTCGGCACGCGGGATCGCCTTTGTCACCAGCATATCCCGCTGGTTTCGCCTCTGGACGAAGACATAGTCCAGCAGGTGCCATTTTCGCGACCGAAGATGCATCCAGGAAGCCTTCTTCCGCATCGGCAGGCAGAAGAAGGCTTTCGTCAGGATGAGGCGTTGTTCTGCTCAGGTGCGGAGAAGGAGCAAGCCATTGTCGTTGGAGCCGCCGAGAACATGGGGGCCCAGCGGTCCTCACAAGGCAGCATGGTCTGTGCCGACGCGGGCGTTGAAGTCACCAAAGACAATCAACTTATCTGCCTTTGACACAGACGCCAGGAGGACGTGCAGATCTTCGTAGAACTTTGTCTCCGCCTTGTCAGAGCCTGTCATTGTTGCGACGTAGACGCTGATGATGGTGACGAATTTGTCTCCCTGGAGAGGCAAGCGAAAGCTCATCGGTCGGTCGCTGATGCCCTGCAGCAGACAGGCAGTCGTCCTACGATATAATTCCGGATAGCAGAGGTAACGCCCGCGTCTCGCTGCTCCACCTTGGGACGATCGCTGCCGAAGATGTAGTCTACACCAGCCTCCTCTAGTTGACCTTGTTCGGAGAAGCGGGTCTCGCTGAGTGCAGCGATGTCCACCTTGTAAGCCACCAATTTTCGAGCCGTTAGAGCCCTCCTCCGTTCCGGTCATCTGCTCCTCGGATTGTCTAAAAAGGGACCAATATTCCAGGCTGCCAGTGTGAGCGAACTCACCCTCCCAGCCTGTGGGATGGGCGACGATGAGGAGGAGGAGGGGGAAGAGAAGTAGTATTGTTTCTTGTGTGACTGTTTGGATCGTGTGTTTTGCGTCTGCGGACCACGGTCAGCATGCAGACGACGTGAATCTCAGCATTTGTTTAGGGCACCTTTTCATGCCCCCTACCCCTCGCGGGGATGAACAGTGTTCTCCCTAGATAGGGCTGTTCAGTCATCCGGGATGGCTGCCGAACTCCATTATGGGCCACGACATTGTTTGGTGGAAGAACAAACCGAGTTAGCCTGGGCCGCCTATGAGATCGCTATCACTCATACCGTAGGACTTGAAGGGTGAGGGGGATGGTGAAAGGGCAGAGAGGCAGGATGCAGAGATTTGCCGTCCCTCTCTAACCTAACTGGTTGCTGGAATATAAACGGTTAGCAGACGAATTCGACAGAACGGTATTTAGCTGACAATAAGAACGGACACAAATAAGCAGACAAAAAGCAGTCAGGCAGGAACAGCAAAGGCAACAGAGGGAGTTCAACAAAGCAGCATTTATCTTTCAGCAATGACAAACACGAACAAGCAGGCTAATAGCACTTCAGCGGAGCAGTGTTCGCTTACCTGGGCGGTCACTTGCCTTGTGGCCTCCTACGGTCTTGTAGACGGAGTCTCGTCTCGGAGGTGGTCAATTCGGCTAGTGGAGCCGAGTTACTGTGTTCACAGATGCACACATGGATACCCTTACCTGGTTTGGCCGACGGGTCGATGCGATCACTGGGATGTGGTTGCTAGGCGGAGCCTAGCCTCGGGGAGCCACATGTGAGAGTTGGATGCCAGTTAATGGACGCCAGGCGTATTCTACACCCGTAGGAAAGTGAGTGATCTACTACGACCTTCATGATAACACACTGGCCGCCCTGATCTTGCACAGGTGGTGCCGTGTCTGAGCATGCGGGCTCTTCTAAGTGTTGAAGCAAGTATGTCTACAGCTCGGTGAGGTTTTCTACCGATCGAATTTTAGTCCAGCATTTTGGTCCATGAATTCCGATTCCCATGCGAGTACGGAGTCTGCTACAGGTAACTGGTGATCATTAATGTACTTAGTTTGATGGCAGTATTCATTCAGACAGGCCGAACTCCACAGTCTTCGCCACCGTTAGACAATGGAATATCAGTCGGGTCTGGCTGCTGTCAACAACAAATGCATGGGAGTTTTGATTACCGAAAATCGGCAAGGAAATTACAAATGAGAAGAAAATCTGCTCCTGACCGCCATAACAATGAATTCCCAGTAGTTGGCTGTCGTAATGAACACCTGTTGTGCGATCTTTTTCAGCCTATGGTGATGCTGTTGCTCCTCTAGCGGAATATTTTTATGGGTGGGGTTAAATTGGCTTATTTTCCCACACATCGTTGTTTTGTTGGTCGCAAATAGAGGGAGGGTAATGTCATTTTTATGGTCTTATTTCTAATGTTATTAATTTAGTGTTTATGTCTGCTCCGTTTGGATTATGCGCCCTTAAAATTAGTTAGGTCTCGTTTTTATGATTTTGATATAACTTTTGTTGCTTGAACAGGCTCTAACAATACGTGGGGCAAATTCTGAAGGCAGTCATGTTCGTCACTGTATGTTGTATAAACCTTGCAAGTGAAACAGCGCAACAAAAACCACCAAAACAATGTGTAGCGTTTACCCGAATACTTCAAATGTCCGCAAATATCATCGTCGGTTTGGCGAATTCCGATCGGGCGATTTCGACCTCTCTGATGCCTATCATCCGGGAGGACCAGTTAGGCTGCATAATGGCCGTTTGCACGCAAGCGCTGGGATAGGTCTACGTCGAACCATTAGGGGGTTATTAGAAAAAACTGAATTCCTCATGGTCTGTTGTTCAGAAGGGCCTTTAACAGATAAGGAAGGTCCGCCGACAAGGAGACTGGGACCAGACACAAAAATTCGATAGATATCGAAGCCCAGCGTTTCACAATCTGCCACGCTTCGCTAAACAATCAGGAGAGGGAACCGCTTCTTCGTCAGATTGTCATTGGGGCTTAAAAAGACTGATTCCTTATTTCAACAAACACAAACGCCAATGGTTTTTTGCGAGTAAGATACTAGTTTCTACGCCAAAATAAGGTCCGCACTGAACTCTTATAGGGCTTATCCCTAATTCACACAAATAGTGTTGAAACTCTGACGTTTTGGTTCGTTTACTACTGGTAGATTCGCCTGCGCTCCCGATTAGTAAACAGGTGGTGGGCATGGCTACCAAGTCAACATCCTCGTCCTTCTGACCCCTGTTGAGGTGTTCTTGTTTAAAAACCTGGTCATTTGCTGCGTGGATCAGGGGGTGTGGTGGCACACCTGGGTGCGGACCCTGTCGTGCCCCCCACCTGCGCCCTCCCCTACCTCCGGTCTTCTTGACGTTGTCTTGACAACGGGCCCCGTTGGGGGGTGAGGAAGAGAGAGTGCGGTAGACGTTGCGCAAGTCTACTATCATTATAAACTAATTCACGCTCAAGTCACTGTATTTGCTACATCTAGCTGCGTAGCACACGGTGGACCTCGTCGGAATCTACGGTCGAACGTGACCAGTAGATTGTAAGCGCGCGTATTATCACGCAAAGATTGTGCAATTATCACGGCAGTAGAAGGCATTTTCTTTGGTACGGCCTGTTGCTTGATCAGGTCGTGGTGGCAGACGTAACTGGATTGTTTAGCTCTGTCAGTCACTTGCAACCGACCCCAGAACCAGAAGGCCGACTGGCCCAGACAGCGGACTGGTGCATGGAGGCGGGCTGAAGCAAGTGAGGACGGCTCTGGAGACCCATAACACTTTAGCGCATTTCCTCGCTATATATCATTCGACCCACTTTCAAGTTATCACAGTGAGCTAAATGTCGTGTCTAAGAATGCTACTAACCAATGGGATTACTCGGCCCTCTCAGGACGAATAGTCAGGTTGCAATGGCTCCCTCTTAAGGTGGCCTACATAGTAGTTCCACTCAAACCACTTGATGTTTTTGTGAAACCCTAGTTCATCGTGCGCGAATCAAGCGTGTGTAACAAACGTAAACAGGTTACTCAGCCTTGCCAGTTATTGCATCCAACCCGGAGCCGGTTGCCCTGACTCCGAGTTGGCACTGAGCTTAGGTGGATGAGGAATGAGGGAGTGCAGCGCAAGTCTGTTATCATATTGAACTAATTAAAGCTCAAGTTGCAGGTACATTATCCAGTTCGTTGGGCAAACGTCTGACGTCGTCGTTCAGAGCGATCAAACGGGCGATTTCAACTAAACTAAGATAACTATATTCAGTAGGGATAATTCTGAGGTATCAACATACTTAAAAATGCACTCAGCTTGTAAAACAGCGATCTTTAGGTTAGTCGTTATTCTTCTTTGCTGACAAGAACAGACTGAATCCTCCTACGACTGAGAGCAATCCACATCACACAAAAAACCGCGACATTTTGACATGCTGACTCGACTTCTACTTTTAACTTTTGTGTGCTCTTATTATAAACAAAGAACCAAAAATAATGGATTCATCAGGCAACAGTTTGGAATTTAGTGCGACCTCTTCCATTGCACTTAAACGTTTATATCTCTTATCCTTTCGGGTAGGCATTTCTCTGTTTGGCCATTTGTTTCTCTATTGCCGATTGGTCAGCGCCTTTCCTTCTGTTCTACAACTTGGGTCTCCGACATCCACGACTACGCTCATGCATTCTTCTGCCCTTCGGGAATCTTTGCCCTCTTTCTTCAATAAACTCTTGTTAATTCACTATCCGTCGTTTAGGCTATTTCTCTCACCCGTTCGCTTTCGGCACCTCTTTCAAACACGAATACTACCAACTATTCCATCTACTACCACCTGCTATTAATGTTATTACCACCAATATCACTGCCGCGGAGGACCAGGTCGTGTGTGGTAGGCGTAAAAGGACTAATGTAGCTCTTCCAGTCACTGCAGCGAACCCCAATACCAGGCGCTCAAATTTTCTGGTGACAGCGGCTCAAATTGCCGTCATCATCACGTCGAAATTCAACACAGATTATAAAATTGCAACGATTAACGACTCGGACGTGGACTGACGAGCCATCATTGCCTTAATTAGACCCGCAGCGGTGATCTTGAGAGCTGTTGATTCCAGTGCGTATGTGGTCCCATGGCAGCCACGTACTATGAATACTGCAGTCTTTGTGCCTCCACTACCCTTATCTGCAATCGTCTCTGATGATAAGTTCGAGTGAGAATCCGAAACGCCAGGCCAATAAATTTCCTGTTCCAGTGATCGCATCTTCTTCTTCTTCTTCTTCTGAACTGCTTCCTGGAACTCGCCTGTTCGTTTCTGTCGACCTTCCCACCACCATCGAGCCCACCTCAAGTTGTCTGAGATTGTCTCGACATCAGCGCATGTTGGGTGAGGGAGGAGAGAGTGCGGTAGATGCTGCGCAAGAATGCCTCACTGTAAGCCTATTCATGCGTAAGTCACTGTTCTTCGTTCAACCTCCTCTGGGGCACACGGCGGACGTTGTTTCTTGAGATATTCGAATTCCCAGTCAGTCATCACTGACTCCGGTTCTAGTACAGCTGCTACTGGTATAAAAGTAACCTCGACTAAAGCCCTTATCTCCCCGAAAACACCTCCTGCACCGTCATCCACTTTCAACGCCTCCTACTTTTCTCTCTCTCTTTAAGTATCT